GTAGTCCCAGCTACTCGGGAGGCTGAGGCAGTAGGATCGCTTGAGCCCAGGAGTTTGAGGTTGCTGTGAGCTAGGCTGACGCCACCGCACTCACTCTAGCCTGGACAACAAAGCAAGACTCTGTCTCGAAAAAAGAAAGAAAAGAAAAGTGCTAACAGGAAGCCTAATGACATAGCATTTTACCTTTTCATGTCAATTAATTTTGGAAAGAATAATGTCCATGGGGGTGGAAGGGTCTGGGTGAAATTAGTAGTCTAGGACATTGCCTAGTGTAAGTCAGGACGATTGGCTCCAGTTCAGTTTGGCAATATATTTGAAGGCAAAAGAGCGTGTTCCCTTTGAACACAGCGGTGTTACCATTTTGTGACATTTACTTTATCTGTCTCTTTTTCTTTCATTTTCTTTGCTGAGGTCTTTTAAAGCAAATCCCTAAAATCATGTAATTTTGCTTCAACATACTTGGTAGGCATCTTTCAAAATTCATGGACATTTTCTTACATATCCACTATGGCATTATCACCCTTAGCAAAAATAATTTCTTTCTTAGTATCATCCAACACTGTCTATAATCAAATATTCCCAGTTCCCTCAAAATGTCTTTTACAATTGCTCTATTGAAACCAGGATCCACAGAAAGACCATATACATATTTAGATACTATGTCTCTTAAGTTTATTTTAATCCAGAGCAGCTCCCTCCTTTTTTATGCCAGTGTAATTAAAATTCTAATAAGGTTATAAGGAAGATAAAAGTAACATGGAGAAAGGAAAAATGATCAACAAAGATTAAAATGGTACCTGAAGTTAAAATCTGCCTGGTTAACTATAAACAATCTTTTCATTAGATAAGCTAAAGGTTAGATTGGTCGAATTAACTGATTTTTAACCACTTCCATTAATGTATTACAAATGGTCACATAAACAATTAGATATTTTAGACTGGACTTCAGCTTTTGCCATTAGAATGGACTATGTGTCCTAACACTGTTTTTGTTACATTGGCGGTTTCATAAGAGGTAGGCATAGTCTTCAAGAATCTTCTCTCACTGGGAATGGTGGCTCAGACCTATAATCCTATAAGCACTATAAGCACTTCGAGAAGCCAAGGCAAGAGGATCACTTGAGGCCAGGAGTTTGAGATCAGTTCAGGCAAAATAAGGAGACCCTATCTCTACGAAAAGTAAGAAAAATTAGCCAAGCTTGTTGGCTCGTGCCTGTAGTCCTGGCTATTCAGGAGGCTGTGGCAAGAAGATCGCTTGAGCTCATGAGGTCGATGCTGCAATGAGCTATGATCATACCACTGCACTCCAGCCTGGGTGACAGGGTGAGATCCCATTCCTAAAAAAGAAAATTAAAATAAAAAAAGATTTTTTTAAAATAAATTTTTAAAAATCCCCTCTCTCTCCCCAAAAGATGGAGAATCAGAAGTTAACTAAAAGGAAGGTGGTTGGGACAGAACTACCAGCAACAGGGAAGGGGCGACATTGGCATTGCCTGGAGCCTGAGGGCAGCTGTGATAACTAAATCTGGTTCTCTGGCTGGTTTTGTAGCTCGGCCACCATCTACCAGGGCAGCTGAACTAGTTCCAGGTCAGCAGCACCCCTGGCAAACTGCAGCAGCGGAAGTAAATCTTCCCCACAGAACTCAGATCAATATCAGGTAATGAGTTCACAGCCAAAGACCAGCACAGAGAGGACGATAAGTGAGAGTCCACAGAAACAATACTCAACAGATGCAGATCCCTGAAGGACTCCAGGTCCTGTAATTGTCAGGTTTGTAATATGCCATAAAGTGCAGAATGGTAGGAGAGATAAAGGACATGGTCTAAGTTATCTTGGGCTGTGTAACAAACTTGGTCCTTAAAACAATGACATTGATTGTTTCACAGTTTCTGTAGACCAAGAATCCAGCCATGGCTTAGCTAGGTCCTGTGCATCAGGGGCACTCACAGGCTGTAATCGAAGTGTTCACCTGGGGCTGTAATCATCTCAAGGCTCAATTAGAAAAGGATCTACATCCATGTTCACTCTCATAGTGGTTAGGACTCAGTTCACAGGCTGTTGTCCAGTGGCCACCCTCCGTTCCAGGGACCTCTCCTTTGGCAGGTCACAACATGGCAGTTGTGGCATCAGAGCAGCGAGAAAGAGCATGAGTAAGAGAGAGAGTACAAGCCAGTTGGAAGTCACACTCTTCATAACCTAATATGTCAGAAATGACCTCGTATCACTTTTACCAAATTTCAAGTATAAAAAGTAAGTCACAGGTCCCATCCATACGCAAGAGAAGAGGAAAGGGAATGAATACCAGGAGGTGGATGTCATTGGGAGCCATTTTAGAAACAGCCTACAACGGACACAGATCAGCCAGCAGCAAGAAGATATCAAAAAAGAACAGGTGGGGTTTGGAGGAGGAACACAATGGAATTTTTATAATTGTTGAAACAAAAAAACTCAAAGAGTGACTTAAACAGAAGATCAAGCCAGCTGAAGAGAGATTTAGGGAACTGGAAGATATATAAGAAATTACTGAGAATGCAATATTAGGAAATGAAAAAAAAAATTTATTTTTGAGACAGAGTTGTACTCTGTCACCCCAGGTAGAGTGCAGTGGCGTCATCATAGCTCACTGCAACCGCAAACTCCTGGGCTCAGGTGATCCTCCTGCCTCAGCCTCCCGAGTAGCTGGGACTACAGGTGTAAGCCACTGTGCCTGGCTGAAAAACATTTTTTCTAACTTAAAAAGGGATATGGGGACTTGAAGAAGGTCTAACGTCTTCCTAGTTGGAGTCCCTAAAGGAAAAAAGAGAATAAAACAGAGGCAATATTTTAATAGCTTATGGGTGTATGTTTTCTAGAATTGATGAAAAACGTGAATCCATGGATCCTGATAGTACAAAGTATAAAATCAGGATAAATAAAAAGAATTGCTCAACTTGACTCATCGTTATGAAAGACTGAAAAGCAGCCAGAAGGAAAGAACAGATCTCTGCAAAGAAATTATATGTAGAATGACACCAACCTCTTAACAGTAAAAATGGAAAGTAGGAGATAATGGAATAATATATTCAAAGTTTTGAGAAAAATTATCATTTCAGACTGGTACAATAATGAAAGTGAG